TGACCAGCAAGTTGCAGGTCTTGCACTGAGCTGCGTGTATCTGTAGGTGTGGCCTCTGATGGAGTGTTTGTCCGACTGACGCCATAGAAAACGTACACAGGAGGATAAGCACCCAGCAGAGATTGAAGAACACGAGGAAGATGTACGTAGGTATTAGAGAATCATGTTGTCTGAGCCTCGCAGTGGCTATAATTCTTAAGAGGTATCATAGTAATCTCTCAATTTGTGGCCACGGAAAAATGTCATCTTTTTATTATTTTTTATTTTTTTTTTACGCGCGATGAAATTACGAGCAGGGTCATGATCAATCCGACCTTCCCCTCGCGTAATAACATGTGCACATACAACATTTATTCTGGGGAAACACTGTTATTTAAGGAGCTGCGGAAAACCATGATAAATGACAAACTTCCTGAACTGCAATATGGAGGAGGCGCTTTGTAAGTTACGCCCAGCAACACAACGCTACACTAGAAGCTTTTATATGGTCGAGAATCCCCGGATATCCTCATTCTCAGATCACCCGAAGCGCCACTGGTAAACTTATGACCATCACCCACGATAGAGTCATCTCAACTCCGCTTTGCCCAACTTCCTTTTTTGTTTGGCGTCGTAATGTCATAATTCTCCCAGCATCGTCGCGTTACACACACCTGTCTTGATTACAATAATTTCCTGCTCGAATATCGATCTATCTACGGAAACAAGGTGATCCAGGTCATGAATTACTGAGGGAGAGTGAGTGTGGGCGCTGGCTGGGCGAGCCTGGAGCCCAGGTGATAGTAGGCAAGATAAACATGCACCACCATCCTACATCTCTCTCCCGTAACGCCACCGAGTATGTCCGTCTCCTCCCTCCTGGAGACTCATGAACCACTGAGAGACAACACCAGTCCCCGTGGAGAGGAGGAGGTGGAGTAGAAGAGGAGGTAGTGGATGGTTTTTACCCCCAGGGAGCGTGTGGAGGGAGGGAGGGAGGCGCAGCATCGTGCGTGTGGCGCGGCCCAGGTTCAAGGCTGACCCGCCCACGTTGCTCACTTCAACAATTTTTACCCTCTTGTTGCAAGCTTATAAACATATATTCATTCCCGGTGATACAATTACGCCTGCGTGTGTGTAGAGCAATACATCACATCATTATCGCTCGTAGGTGGGATTGTTTTTGACGGTAGTTGGAGGAGTTAGTTGTGGAAGGCAGTAGAGGGCGGTAATTATGATGTCAGCAGCGGGCAGCAGCAGGACGCTGAGCGCTGGCTGGCGTGGCCCACGTCTCGGGTGGGTGGTCGAATTTCCCCGTAGCTTATCCTGAAGTTCTTCCCGAGATGCGTACGACTCTCAGAGGCCCTCGTGTCTCTGTCGGCGGCGGGTGGATGTAATGTCGACGGTTGCTGACGGATGCAGAAGGTTGTGGACGGTTGTGGGCGGATAAGGATGGTTGTTCACGGCGGCTGTGGGCGGATAAGGACGGTTGTTCACGGCTTCGGATAATAATAACGGACAGATACGGACGACTAAGGACAATGCCAACAGTTTATGACGGACAGCGACGTACGAGGGAGGAATGGTGATCGTGGACAGCTGGGAAGGGTCGACGACTGTGGATGAGTGAGGGAAGGGAACACTTGCTCACTTATACCACCAGACACCATAGTTACACCATGGAACTTGTACCAGCGGGCTCTATCAAGGTGGTGGTAGTGGTGGAGGTGGTGGAGGAGTATCAAGGTCGTGTGTTGGTGAGGCTGGAGGTGGGTGTTGTTGTTGTGGCTTCATCATGATGGGTGGGCCACTCTCCCCCTCTTCTTCCCCCTCCTCTTCTTCGTCTTCTTCCTCTTTTTCTTCTTCCACCTCTTCTTCTTTCTCCTCTTCCTCCTCCTTTCCTCCTCTTCTTCGTCTTCTTCTTCTTTTTTTTCTTCTTCCTCCTCCTCTTCTTCTTTCCCCTCTTCCTCCTATTCTTCCTCCTCTTATTCATCTTCCCCCTCTTCCTCCTATTAATCCTCCTCCTCCTCTTCTTGTTCCTCATCATCTTCTTTCTCCTATTCCTCGCCGTCCAAGGAGGGAGATATGCTTTCCGTCCGTCCGTGCGTGCGTGCGTCCGTCCGTCTCTCGGTGGTAAAGACGATTACTTCAACAAACAGCGATGGATCTTGGCTCAACTCGGTGTGTTGATACATCGTGACCAGATCTCATGGGCGTTAAATAATCTCCTTATTTTTTAACAACAAATATTCTGAGTTATTTGTTCGTCTGTTTAGCCAACCCTCTTGTTGCTGTTGTTGTTATTGTTGTTATTTTTCTTCTTCTTCTTATTATTATTATTAAGGATACGTATTGATAGACAAATATTTCGTGTATGTACCATTAAAACACGTAATAATCCTTTGAGTACACTGTTGACACCTTGAGTACATTATTAACACCTTGAGTACGATGTATAGGCCCTAAGTCACTTTTTCTCTATCTACCACTCTCTCTAAGTCCATTCCTGAGAGAGAGAGAGAGAGAGAGAGAGAGAGAGAGAGAGAGAGAGAGAGAGAGAGAGAGAGAGAGAGAGAGACCAAATCATCCGACATTGTGACGATTTTTTTCACACGATCATTAAGGAGCAGGTAATATTAGGCAGCCAGCAGGAGGAGGAGGGGGAGGAGTAGGAGTGAGTAGCAGGAGTAGGAGTGAGTAGCAGTTTTCTCAGCAGGTAAACTTAATTAAGCAGACACTTATAGCGGACACTTCTGTTGGGGTGTCGAGCAGGCTGGCTACCTACCCACGCGCACCATCACCCATCACCCTCCCCCCTTACTACTAATGGATCTCTAATGGGTGTCTGATGATGCGCGCTTATTTTATTAAGAGCGAGAGAAAGGCGCCTGCGCTCTAAAAATGTGGTTTGTTGTTCGGTTTTCAGAAGAGCTACGTGTGTGGGACTGATCTCGAGAAGGGTGACACGTGCGTTCCAATAATGCAGCAGTTGGTTACTGTCGTATTAGAAGGGCAAGTTAAAATACCGGTTTGTTGTCTGGCATTAAGGAGAGTTACGTGTGTGTGTGTGTGTAGGACTGATTATAGGAAGGTATACTTGTGTTTTAGCCATAATACAGCTCTTATTTGGGAAGGTTAGGTTAGGTTAACGTTGGGTTTGTCTTGATGGCTCACTAATCTATGCAGAAAAAGGTTCCTGTGTTCCATTAATGCCGTTTGTTGACTGGTTTTCATTAGAGTTGCATGTGTGAGACAGACCTCGATAAAACTCGTATGTTCCTATACTGTAAGGCGTAGCTTCTTCGACTGTCTTTAAGAAGTGTGTAGGTTAGACAGATCTCAGTAAAATTTGCTGACTGCACTGAGGAAGAACACGTCTCAAATATTACTCATTCCAAAAAGGGCGCCTGTAGTCTGCTGTTAAGAAGTGTTGGGGATAGAGCAGATCTCGTGATAGCTACTGTGTTCCAAAGACATAAATTGATTTTTTGGATCAAAGTTGTGGTTTGCTGTTTGTGCTTTTAAGAAGAGCTACGCGTGTGGGTCAAGACCTCGAGAAATGATTAGTGTTCCTAAATGCAGCTCGTTGTCTACCATCAAGGAGGTACTGGAGAAAAATGCCGCTTGTTGTCTGCTTTTAAGAAGAGCTACGTGTGTGGGACAGACCTGCAGCCATGATGAACAGATAGCAGTTTTTCCTATAAGCTTATTCTTTTAAGGTATTTATCTAGAGGCTCGAGTGATCTTCATTATCATTTTTGTGTACCCAAGAAGGACAAAGAATTTTAATGTGCGGTGCCGCGCGCATACTATTTATAAAGCAGTTTGACATCATGCATTGCAAATTTTAATCTCCAGGGATCCGGTGTGTATACAATCTCCCCTGGAAAAACGCGACGTATTCACACGAACGACTTAGAAAAACGAGACTTTTGTCAATATTAAATTAATGATATAAACATAAAGATATTTTCATATATATTTTTTCTTTAGTCTTCTATTATACATTTTTATTGGTCGATATTAAACTTGTATATAATATTACTTTACGAGGACGTGTGACAGAGATTATTAATGAAGGAAATTTTTACTAATTATTTTTTTTCGGGATCACATGAAGATTAGCCCCCCACCCCAGCTTAATTCACCTGATGATTACACACCCTAACGTTACCTGGGTAAGTTAGGTTAGTTTTACGTTAAATTAAATAAGATAATCGTAGGTGTGGTTAATCTTAAGGCGAAATAAGCTGGGGCTAATCTTCACCACAGTTGTCTAGTTTTTGGTGGAGAGAGAGATAACACACAAACTTTCACATAACCTCCCTCCCTTCCCATCCCCTGTCTCGTTCCCCTCCCCTTCCCCACTCACTACAGCTACTGATGGGCCAGGTGTGTTAAGATAAAGGCTTCCCCCCATCACCGACCATCAATTAATAATTCGACGAGGGGATGACTGAGAGGACAAGTAAACAAGGGTCCGTACGGTATATAAACTCCCTTAACTGATAACGACCATAAAAGAATGTATCTGCCTGAGTCACTTAACTTACGGCATGATGATGGATTATGTTAGGTTAGGTTAGGTTAGGTTAGGTTAGGTTGACAGTAGGGTTTAATAATGGTTTTGTATGAATGACTGAGGATTCGAGGAGGAGGGATGGCCAGGGGTGCGGCAAGGAAGGGGGGACAAGGAGTGCGGGGGGTGACCAGGGGGTGCGGCAAAGGGGAGTATTTAGATCGTTAGTGATATTGATAATGATAAAAGTGTGTTTGAGGCACCAGTGTGTCCTGACCCAAGATTTGGTCCGGGGGGGGAGGAGGTTGGGGGAAGGCTGAGGAGAGAGAAAATGAAGGAGGGGGGGTTGGGGGAGATGGATAGGAGGAGGGGTGAGGGTGGGTCTAACCTAACCTAACCTGATCTATCCTGACCTAACCTACCCCAGCCTAACTATACAGTACAGACACTATATACACAATACATATAAGATATACAAGTATACATATTCCTTCACACTTACCTTATGTAATCTTCAATATGTCGTTGCTCAAAGCGTTCAGTGTCTGAAATACAAAATATATATTAATAATTGCAATTTTCAAAATTCATGTATGTATGTATGTATGTATGTATGTATGTGGTGTAATGGTCAGCATCCTAGCCTCGCAAGCGAGCGGACCCGAGATCGATCCCCGGACAGGGTGAAACTATGGGCAAGTTTCTTTACGCCATTTGCCTCCCAGCAGTAATTGGGGACCTGGCTGTTGATCTATTTGCGGATAGTGTTCCGGGGTAATGGTTAGCCAGTGCAGTTGGCGAGTTGTCCGGTCTTCTCGGACTATTCCCTGACACTGGGACATGCAGCTCGTTAACTCATGGTGAGGTTGTTGTGTTGGCGACAGCTTCAACACTTTACACAAATTCACGCATAGGTGGCCCTTGGGCCGGCCATCCTCGATTTCGAGGGGCTTCCATTATTATGTATGTATGTGATGCTTATGAACAGTGTATTTGGGTCAGGTTAGGTTAGGTTAGGTTCAGTTACACACACACACACACACACACACACACACACACACACCAAAGAAAACAGAGAATAAAGATGGTAGACACAAGAGAAGAGAAAGAACTAAAGAAAACGGATTGTTGATCTTGACCTCCAGGAGAAACTCAGCAGATGCGTGTGTGTGTGTGTGTGTGTGTGTGTGTGTGTGTGTGTGTGGGTGTGTGTGTGTGTGTGTGTGTGTGTGTGTGTGTGTTTTCTTGTTTTATCAATCTCTCTTCGCGTCTGTTTCTTTCTCTTACATCATTCTTCCAAAACAATATCTCAAAATAATAAATTCCACTCAGAAAATCCCTCCCCAAAATCCCCCCTCCCCCCAATAAATTCCTCCCCAAACTATCCTCCAATAAATTCCTCCCCAAGATCTCCCCCAATAAATCCCTCCCCAAAAGCCCCTTAATCAATCAATCCCCAAAATTTCCCCAATAAATCCCTCCCCAAATCCCCTCAATAAATCCGTCCCCAAAATCTCCCCTCAATAAATCCTACAAATCTCCCCAATAAATTCCTCCCCAAGATCTCCCACAATTTCCCCAATAAATCCCTCCCCAAATCATCCCTCAACAAATCACTCCCCAACCCCCCCCAAAAAAAATCCCCAATAAATCCCCAAAATCCCTCCCCAAAATTCCCAATAAATCCCCCAAATCTCTCCAATAAATCCGTCTCTCATCACCCTATTTATCTTCTCGGGGACAATTAATCACCTGCAGACTCATGCTTATTGTCTTCACTGAGGCTCATACACTCAACCATTACTGAGGCTCATACACTCAACCATTACTGAGGCTCATACACTCAACCATTACTGAGGCTCATACACTCAACCATTACTGAGGCTCATACACTCAACCATTACTGAGGCTCATACACTCAACCATTACTGAGGCCAGGTCAGGGATGCATATTTTTACAGTTGATTATAAATTGAGAGAGAGAGAGAGAGAGAGAGAGAGAGAGAGACTCGGGCAAACAGACAGACACACAGACAGTGGTGATTTCAACGACCAAATAACTAAGCATCAAGGGGCATCATAAACCATTTTACACATTCAGTATTAAGCAACAGGTCTGAGTTAGCACAAAGCAGATTATTTTTTTTTCTACACCAAGACGACATAATCACTGAATTTACATCCCTCGGTTATAGTAAATATTTGTTTATTCGTGTATAATTCAGCGATTATATACGCGGCATAATTTTAGGCAAGCAAAAGAAATTATGTCTCCTTGGTTCTGACCCGCGGTATAAAAAAGAAATTGTGTAAAAAAACATCACATGGTAACTCGTCTTTTTTTTTTTGGAAGATGCCAGATGTTACTAGGGTGGAAATTATTATGATTGTGTGTGTGTGTGTGTGTGTGTGTGTGTAATTATGCTTAGGTATACATGTATGTAAAAGTGGATGTGTATGTTTGTAGATCCAAATTAATCCACCTTAAAATACCCTTTAATCCACCATAAACATCCACATATATCCATCTCATAAATACTCAATAATCCACTTTATAAATCGCCATTAATCTATGTTACAAATCCACACGAATCCACTTTATATCTCCGCTGACCCTTCCAACAAATCCACCTCAATCCACAAGGAAGAGGAGGAAGAAGGAGAAGAAGGAAGAAAAGGAAGCTGGGAAGGAAGAGAAAAAAGAACAGATGAAAGAAGGGGGTAATTAGAAAGAGGGGGAAGAAGAAGAAGAAGAAGAAGAAGAAGAAGAGGAGGAGGAGGAGGAGTAGGAGGAGGAGGAGGAGGAGGAGGAGAAGAAGATTGGGACGAGGGATTTAGGTGAGATTGGGTGAAGGGAATCAGGTGTAGGGATTAGCGTCTTAAATCCCTCCCTCCCTCCCTCCCTCCCTCTCTCAGTTTCTCCCCGTCCTTCACTTGACTTCACACTTATTTTCCATCTTATTTTATCTATTTCTTTATTATCCCCCTCTCTCTCTCCCTCTCTCTCTCTCTCTCTCTCTCTCTCTCTCCAGTTATGAAAGAGTCACAGCGAAACATGGCGGCCATTTTAAAACCTAATTGTAGTGCAGAAACTGAGAGATAACCAGTTAACTTCTCTCAGTTCTCACAGCTATGGTAGAGTCTCAGAACAGTTTCGTAACCACTGTGGAGAAGCTGAGAGATAACCAGTCAGCTTCTCTCAGTTCTCACAGTTACGAGAACAAGATGACGGCAGTAGACCTCTGACACTCGTGGCTGCCTCTCCTCAGTTCTGTGTTTGTCTAATGTGACGCTAATCCTGGCAGTGAACGGCTCTTCGTTAACGGTGATAAACGTCCCGTGGGATTTACGTGACAAATACATCGTTTGAGCACGTCCCCCCCCCCTCCCGAGCTGTGTGTGTGTGTGTGTGTGTGTGTGTGTCATTACCATCATGAACTACTTAGATAATAGTTTTATTAGTAGTAGTATTATCACTAACAGTATTTCCCCATCTCTCTATATGTAAATTTCAACTTCCTCGTTCCGGAAGAGAAAAATCTTTGTAACTCGGAGTCAACGAACAAGACCTCCCTTAAGAACACCACAAAGGTAAATAAATAGTTGAGGTGACGAAGCCTCGCCCGTGGGAAAAAGAAATGACTTTAAAATTACTGCCATAGTTTTCTAATTTCATTCGTTCACATTTCAACCTTTTCGTATATGGATAATTAGGAGACAGAGAGATAAAGAGTTAAAAGCCAATACGTGTCATCTTTTGCCTTACAGTATGTGCGTGTGTGAAAAGCATGTTTGGTAGAGATAGTTTTAAATTAAGAAAATGTACGATGAAGTTCTCTTGAGACAACAGGGAGTGCCCCGCCCTGTGTCCCAAACCATAACAAAAACGCGCCAATTGTCCGAATTCCTTCCTTCGACTTCCAGTATAGACATAAAATACATATACCAAGTCTGTGTGCTGAGTTAAAGTAGTCACGTTATAAAAGCTTACTTAGTAAATCATAGAGACTTTATGTTTATCTTTACTCTATATCCCAAACGTAAATAAGAGCAAATAACGGGCGACTGCAGCTCTATAAAGACAGATAATCGGAGTCGTGCCAGAAGACACAGGACTTGTCAACAAGATACGGGAGGCGGGTGATGGGAGAGCGGGGGTCGACGTGTCTATTTGTGGGCTGCTAAACAGTAGCGACTTACGGAGCTGGGAGTAGAAGGAATGTGACGCAGGTAGGTAGAGTACCAGATTACTGCCTAACGCTAACAATAGCAGACGTCTGACACAGTATAGTAACAAATATATGAATACATTAGAGAAGTTGTTAAATAAATGAATGAATATCTCAATCAATGAATAAATAATGTTTAAAACACACACACTTCTTAAAGTTGTAAAAAAATCCTACCCTAACCAAACCTAACCTAACATAATAACAGTAATAACTTCGTAAAAAATAAATAAAAACTAAAACTAAACACATAATAAAACTATTTCCTTCAGTATTTATAAAAAACCTGAAAAAACCAACACTCAAAACACAATGGTTGTTTTAGGTGGGTTTATAAGTGTAGCGTCTCTCAGGTCAAACAAGGGCCTACGGTCACCACCCCCTTCCCAAACACTGACCACACCTGCTTACTGCACCAAATTGTTGACAAACACACGAAACGGTGGACAGTGTTTGCCTAACCTGGCACGTCAAACAGGCAATTAGAGAGAGAGAGAGAGAGAGAGAGAGAGAGAGAGAGAGAGAACGACAAGAAGAAGAAGAAAATAACTACATGATGAAGAAGAAGAAGACAGAGAAGAGAAGACAATGTTGACCACTACACAACTTGCCTCGTGTTGGTTCACCTCACACCACAAACACAGCTCAAGATCTGCAGGAAAGTGTCAATATTGAGTCTCCAGCTTGACGGTCCCATACAGAGAGCGTCACCCTGGGCCCAACCTAGCTCGTGTGTGTGTGTGAAAGAGACGAGGTTACAGAACTTAGAGGTGACTGTAACTGTTGGTATAAGGGAATGTCGCATTAATACAGTATACATGATTACAAAATTCAGATAATACGAGTGTAAGTATAGGTTAGAGAGAGAGAGAGAGGGGGTACCCTTCTCTTTCTCTCACAGTGTTGCCAATTATAAATAAGACCCCGTAACTCCCACCGGTGATAATTATGGGAATCGATCAGCCATTATTTACAAACAAGAAGACATAAGAGATGATCGTGATCTACAACGAGTGTGGAGTGAGTGGGGGAAGGAATGAGGAGAGAGGAGGTGTATGGAGGGTGAGTGGGGGAGAGGAGGTGGAGGTGAGGGGGGGAGAGGAGGTGGAGGGTGAGGGGGGGAAGAGCAGGTGGGAAAGGCTAGGGGGTGGAGGGTATGGAGGGGAGAGGAGGTGTATGGAGGGTGGGGAGAAAGAGGAGGTGTATGGAGGGGTGAGAAAAGTGTATGGAGGGGAGAGGAGGAGGTGTATGGAGGAGATTGCTATAACCATCACAACCACAACTACAACCACCACAACTACAACCACTACAACAAC